AAACATAACTATTTATAATGCTCCCTAAATAATAAAAAAATAAATTACAGTGAAAGCAATGTAGATTTTGTAGGTTTGAACCAAAGTAAATAACGGTAAACCTTTTTTTTATTTACGGTATTTTCTTATTTTAATGTTTTGAGCTCTTTTGTGTTTAGAACAATACATACTAATTTTTAAAGTATCAAATTGAATTTTTGTTCAATAAAAATCTTTCAAACGCGACTGTAGCTTTTTTCCCCAAAAAACTTTGTCTTCAAAATAAGGGTGCGTCTTATATTCCGAAAAATACGGTATTCAAATTTATATTTTCAGACACTATGTTTTCCATATGCTCATTTGAATTTAGTATCCATTTGATTTGCTTAATATTTATGGCAAAATTTACGAGGAAAGATTTGTTTATTTATTTTAGGCAAAACAATACATTGGGCAATCTGCACTTTGTTCACCCCGAGTAATCGAACCCTCGATTTTGAGCGTTGCCAAGTCCGTAAACTTGCTGTTCGAAAATTATGTTGTTGTTTTTTTTCAGATGGTCAATCTTACTATTTTGTTTCTTTCACGATTCGTAATGATTACCTTCACGTGTTTCCAGTTGCAAAAAAAAAAAACAACAAAAAAATCATTTTGAACACAGTTAAACTGGTTGTAAGCATATCTGTTTTAACCATTTGACCTGAAGAGGAAACAAGTAAAGATTATAATTTTTTTATGACAGGTTCGGTGCAACTAGAATTAAATCTTACAATGGATCCGTGTTAATACACGGAATATTGAGTATCTCATCTTCAGTGACATATTTTAATTTCTCTCAACCATAGCATAGTTGATGGGAAAGTTGCCAACTTTTTCGACTTGTCAGTGTTGGCTTTGCATTGGTCTTCTTTTAAAGGAAATGAGACATAAGGAACTTGTAATTGCAAATACTTTAACGATCATGACATTTTTATTTGAGTCAACAGGAAACAAGTTATATTTTGAGAGACCATATAGGTATTTACAGATCTTAATTCCTTTATAGTCATTTTAGAAAAAAATAGTACTGATAGTTAGATAATGATTCATTTCAATTCCTTGATTTGCAACCGGATGATCTTGTGTAATGTTGTTTATACGTATTTTATAGTCAACAATAATGTTATTTATATATATTTTATAGTCAACAATTATGTTGTTTATACATATTTTATAGTCAACAATAATGTTGTTTATATATATTTTATAGTCAACAATAATGTTGTTTATACATATTTTATAGTCAACAATAATGTTATTTATACACATTTTACAGTAAAAACAATGCTAGTTTTACATATTTTACAGTCAACAAGAGATACAATGTACAAGCGTCTTTATTCGGAACATCTACAGCTACAACGGGCTTTTTCTTTACTGCGCCATCTAGTTGCAGAGAGCCAAGGCATACAAGGAACTGCCAAAGTAGGGATTTATTTATTTTACTTATCTTGGGTTTCGCTATTTAATGAATGAGAATGATCAAGTCAAGTTCTTCACATTAATCGAAATGAAAACGATATTGATTGATTTGATCGTAATTATGATGAACGGGAAAACACGTTGTCTTTCTGCTCCTAGAGAATGAACCTATAGTTTAAAACCTTATATTTCACACAGTATCACTTGTTCAATGTGTTATGTTCTAAACAGTGGGGTTTATTAAACTTATAGTCACCAGAAAACCTTATATTTCACACAGTATCACTTGTTCAATGTGTTATGTTCTAAACAGTGGGGTTTATTAAACTTATAGTCACCAGAATGCAGTACTGTTTTTACATTAAAATCTAATATACCCTGTTCTATCACATTGAAGAAAACTGTATTCTCCATTGTCTTTCAACATATATGCACATACGTGTGGTTTGAAAACTAGGACAAAACTTTATGTTTTTAAATCTGAGATATTTACATTAGCTCAAGTTTAATGAATAATTATTATCACTTTGGTTTCTCGTGTCTGCCCCATTAGACACTTCACCTAAGGGAGGCTGGAGTTGGGCCTGATAGACTCAGATTTTAGGGCTAAAATTTCAGTGTAAATTTTGGTTATGAAAGATGTCTAACTTATACAAATATTGTGTAACTGCTGCTGAAATAACGAATGAGACATGCCTTTTTTATGTGTAGGATTGTCTTCTTTATCAAACAACCAATAATTAGACTATTTTATTTTCTTACAAATTAAGGTCCTTTCCTGGGCTGAAGAAAAGCAGAAACTGGAGAACAAAGCAGATGGTTTGAACGGCAGGGTATGTAATCCATTCTTGATTTGTAGTCTAAACCATAGAAGTCATACTCAGCATGACTCATCTATTTTGTCTGTCGACTCATTAGAGAAACCAATTTTTTCTACTTGATTCATTATAGAATTTTTATTTTTCACATGACTAATTAGAGAACCCTTTTCTATTTGGCTTATTAAAGAAACCCAATTTTCCATGTAACTCATTAGAAAAACCCTATTTTACAACTTGATTCACTAGAGAACTCCTGTTTTCCACTCGACTCATTAGAGAACTCCTATTTTCCGCATGAGTCATCAGAGTACCCTTTTCCACTTAGCTTATTATAGAAACAGTATTTTTCACAGAACTTATTAGAAAACTGCTATTTTACAACTGGATTCACTAGAGAACCCCTGTTTTCCACTTAACTCATTAAAGAACTCTTATTTTCCACGTGGCTTATTAGAGCATCCCTATTTCCAACTTGGCTTATTAAAAGAACCCTTACTTTCGACTTGACTAATTAGAGAACCCGTACTTTAAAACTTGACTCAATACAGAATTTTTAATTTATAACTAATTAGAGAAACAAACACTATTTTACAACTGGACACATTATAAATCCTTATTTTCCACTTGGTTCATTAGAGAACCTCTGTTTTCTACGTGTTTCTTTGAGAACCCTATTTTCGACTTGACATATTAGAGAAAACCTTTTAACTTGACTTATGTTTAGGGTAAGACAAAAGTCAAAGATACGTATTTCATAGCATCAAATATTATAGGAATATTTAAATAATGTTTCAGTTAAGATAAAATTCTCAAGCTATATATATCACAACATTAAATATTATAGGAATATTTAAACAATGTTTCAGTTAGGATAAAAGTTTCAAGCTACATATTTCACAACATTAAATATTATAGGAATATTTAAACAATGTTTCAGTTAGGATAAAAGTTTCAAGCTACATATTTCACAACATTAAATATTATAGGAATATTTAAACAATGTTTCAGTTAGGATAAAAGTTTCAAGCTACATATTTCACAACATTAAATATTATAGGAATATTTAAAAATGTTTCAGTTAAGATGAAAGATTCAAGCTACATATTTCACAGTGTCAAAGGCCATAAGATGATATATATATAATAATTCAGATAAAAATATTAAACCAATTTCTGAATGTCACAGCATCAAAGGCTTTAGAAAGATTTAAACAATGAATATGGAATGATAGAAGACAGCAAGTTATCAGTATATTTTATGCTATGTCAAACAAAACCTACCGATTCATTTATAATATACTGGTAAAAAAAGAGCTAAATAATAAAGCCAATGTACTTGTAGTTATAATGTCACAATATTGTTCAGTAAAATATCAACAAATTGTAAACATGTGGCCATAACATTATGTCACTGAAGAGAAAAAAATTGGGACAAAATGTATAAATGGGTATCTTGTCTCTGAGCAGCAAAATATGGGAAAAGTTTACATACGTGGTGTACATTGCCATAACACTGAGCAGCAAGATGGGACAAATATATACGTGTGTGATTATTTTGTGTTATTACTAAACAGAAAAATATGGACAAAATCTATGTATGGATATGTTGTATTATCACTAAACAGAACAATATGGACAAAACCTGTATGTATGTATGGATATGTTGTCTTATCACTAAACAGAACAATATGGACAAAACCTGTATGTATGTATGGATATGTTGTATTATCACTAAACAGAACAATATGGACAAAATCTGTGTGTGTGGATAAGTTGTCTTATCACTAAACAGAACAATATGGACAAAACTGTATGTATGTATGGATATGTTGTCTTATCACTAAACAGAACAATATGGACAAAACCTGTATGTATGTATGGATATGTTGTCTTATCACTAAACAGAACAATATGGACAAAACCTGTATGTATGTATGGATATGTTGTCTTATCACTAAACAGAACAATATGGACAAAACCTGTATGTATGTATGGATATGTTGTCTTATCACTAAACAGAACAATATGGACAAAATCTATGAGTGGATAAGTTGTCTTGTCACTAAAGAGAACAAAATGGACAAAATCTGTATGTGTGGATATGATGTCTTATCACTAAACAAAACAATATGGACAAAATCTATAAGTGGATATGTTGTCTTATCACTTAACAGAAAAATATGGACAAAACCTGTATGTATGTATGGATATGTTGTCTTATCACTAAACAGAACAATATGGACAAAATCTATGTGTGGATAAGTTGTCTTATCACTAAACAGAACAATATGGACAAAACCTGTATGTATGTATGGATATGTTGTCTTATCACTAAACAGAACAATATGGACAAAATCTATGTGTGTATAAGTTGTCTTATCACTAAAGAGAACAAAATGGACAAAATCTATATGTGTGGAAATGTTGTCTTATCACTAAACAGAACCATATGGACAAAATCTATATGTGTGGAAATGTTGTCTTATTACTAAATAGAAAAATATATACAAAGTTTATGTGTGGATATGTTGTCTTATCATTAAAAAGAACAATATGGACAAAATCTGTATGTGTGGATATGTTGTCTTATCACTAAATAGAAAAATATGCACAAAGTTTATGTGTGGATATGTTGTGTTATCTTTAAAAAGAACAATATGGACAAAATCTGTATGTGTGGATATGTTGTCTTATCACAAAACAGAACAATATGGACAAAATCTATGTGTGGATAAGTTGTCTTATCACTAAATAGAAAAATATGTACAAAGTTTATGTGTGGATATGTTGTCTTATCACTAAACAAAACAATATGGACAAACTCTATAAGTGGATATGTTGTCTTATCACTAAACAGAAAAATATGGACAAAATCTGTATGTGTGGATATGTTGTCTTATCATGGAACAGAACAATGTGGACAAAATCTATGGATATGTTGTCTTATCATTAAACAGAACAGTATGGATAAAATCTATATGTGTGGTTATGTTGTCGTATCACTTAACAGAAAAATATGGACAAGATATATATATATATTGTTATGTTGTTTTATGACTAAACAGAACAGTATGGACAAAATCTATATGTATGGATATATTCTCATGTTTTTCTTGTTATTAAGTAGAATGATATGGACAAAATCTATATATTTGAGATTATATTATCATGTAATTGAATATCAAGATTTGGACAGAATAGTCACGTGTGGTTATACATGTAGATATGCAGTTGTTATGATATAATTCAAAACATCAAAATTTATATAGAATGTACATATACATTTTGGCCTAGTGTTGCCAGTAGTTAGCTTCTTGAGATGGTGATTGAACTGACCAATGTTTGTGATTTGATCTTGTTATACATGCACGCACGTGTAACACTTTCACCTGTTAGCATGTTATGAAAACAACAGCCAGTTTTTTGGCATGTGCTGCTGCCTGGATCCTCTCCCTCTGGTGATCAATTCAACATATGGACGGCTGTACCTTAACCTTTGTAGTCACTGACCTGATACTTTATAAATACCTAATTATAATGTATAATTATAATAATAATGTATAATTATAATCTGTACATATATGTGAAGGAATATCGAGTTATCGACAAAACTTATGTATATATGACAGGTTAGTAAGCAGAAATGTAGGGACATAACATGAATATTTAATTGTAAAGTAATGATACAGTGCAGTAAAATAGCCACACAATCTACATATTTAATTATCATGTCATAATACACAACAGCAAAACATTGATACATTCTATATATTTAATTATGTTATAATAAACACAGCAAAATATTGATACACTCTGTATATTTTAATTTTCATGTCATAATAAAGAACAGCAAAATATTGATACACTCTGTATATTTTAATTTTCATGTCATAATAAAGAACAGCAAAATATTGATACACTCTACATATTTTAATTTTCATGTCATCATAAACAACAGCAAAATATTGATACACACTGTATATTTAATTATCATGTCATCATAAACAACAGCAAAATATTGA